GAGCGAGAGAGAGAACATGGGCATCTGTATCTGCGGCACAGTGATTTGACTTTTGGGGTGAATGCACAAACATATTATCCTTTTAATCAATTAAGGCTTGCTGTTCTTAATAACTTGGCTGCACACATCCAAAGGTGCTAAGAAACCTATGTATTTTTAGAAAACAAAATCGTAAAAGTAATTTCACCATAGTCCTCCTAACAGATCATAGGAGGCAGAGAGACAGAGAGAGAAAAAAAAAAGAGAGAGAGACCTGAGGATCACCACGCCTCAGGCGAGGGGTGAGGTTGAGAAGGACAGTGATGGTATCCTCACTAGGACAGCAATTGCTCCCCTGCTGTTTGCATAGCAGAGTAATGCCAACCAGCATCTAGCTAACTGAACTAACTGACCTCCCAATGGAAAAAAGCACATAGATTATGGACAGCAAGGGAAAAGAGTACAGAGGTTTCAGTTCTCTCCCAACCCTGTCCATAAAGCTGAGTGAAATTTAGACATCAACTCCATTCTCTCTCAGTTTCACATCTATTACTCGAAGTAATATTATTTCCCAGAAACAACTAGTTAAAATGCAAATGATAGCACATAAGTTTTTAAAAATTAGGAGGCCACCAATAGTATGACACAGGTTACAAAACCAGGAAAGAATAGCCTCAGAGGTATTGGTAACTACTCAGTGTGTGATCCTGGTGGTTCTATTTGGAATGACATGTACATAGAGGTGCCTGACGTGCCAACTGAGCCATCTGACCAATAATCTTGTACGGTTAATAAAATAAACTAAAAATGAGAAGTTGAATAAAGGTTCTCCCTCTCAATGTGGAAGGTCTGCTAAAATTAATAACATGATTTATATATTATGTATGTACAAAAATTAAGACTGGTAAAGGAACAGGTTAGTCTTATTTGACTGGAAAATGCTTACGACTTTTTTTCTCAAGTAATAAATTCACAAGATAGCTATTCTATGATATCAGTAGCTATAGCTCAATCAATAAGGAGCCGTGGTCAAATGAAGCCTCTGCAATAATGGGACGGCAGCTGAATAGGTATTCAAAATAAATAACTATACTACAAAACTATTTTTGGGCATTTCATTTAGCCTTGCTTAATTAAGATACTTGCTGATATCAAAACATTAAGTACTGTCGGAAAGCAGAACTTAAGTTACTCTCGTGAACAACCTGACAATTCAAACTTCTAATAAGGAATTAGGCTGAACAGCCATTAAACACAGCCCATTACCAGCTCAGTATGAACCAATGTAACCCTATCAGTTAGTTCCAGATCACATATGAGATGTAACAGAGTGTTAAAACTGGTAAAGTGGAACAGTATATGTGAAATAGGGAGTGGTGTAAAGGTCCAGTTGATCAGGATAGCAGGTAACTGCGAAGGTTCAAGAAACCAATGGCAGATGGACAACATTGGGACAGGTTTAGATAAAGAACTCACTGATTTATTGGGCATTCTTTAAGAAAGGAGTTCTTTTTTGGGGCTATAAGTTCTATCAATAATCCATCCAGGTCTACCCCTGAGAAAGAGTAAATTATTAAGGATATTGTGAGGCCTGAATGCTGAAGTCAGTGGAGACAAACTCAAGTGTAGATCCAAGTTAATACTCTTGGATATTTGAGAAATTGTGAAGACATGAAACACTGAGAAAAGGAAAAAATTTCTTGTTTCTGCACACTAGCTTTCTTGCCTATCCTGGATTAATGCTCATTACTTATCATGGTCACATATTTTCTGCATATTGCTTGTGTTTCATGTACAAGAAGACATAGAGCTCTTTGCACTTGATGTCTCTCCATTTAAATAACAGTTTGCCTTTTGATTTTTCCAACCAAGGTGCATAACCACACACCTTCCTACATTGAAAACCATCTGCCAAGACATGCCCGCTTACTCAACTAATCTTTTGTCACTTGCAGATTGCTTGTGTCCTTATCACAACATACCCTCCCATGTATTTTCTGTATCGCCAGCAACTCTGCCCCTTTTCCAAATCATTGATATAGATAGTAAATAATTGAAGCCTTAGATCTGATTCCTGTGGTACTCCACTAGTTACATATTTTCAACCTGAAAAAGATCAATTCATCCTGACTCTGCCTTCTAAGTGTTAACCAAATCTCAATTCATGCCCAATACTGTGACTTTCTATCTTGTCCAGTAACCTTTAATGTGGCACCTTATCAAATGTCTTCTGGAAATCCAAATACAATACATCCACTTGTTCCTCTTTCAACTTTGTTTGTTATATCCTCAAATTTGACAAACATGATTTTCCTTTCACTAAACTATGTTGGCTCTGTTTGACTGCATTCAGTTACTCTAAATGTTCTTCCTTAATAATGGACTCTAGCATTTTCCCAACAACAGATGTGAAGGGAATTGGCCCAGTTTTCTGCTTTGTGGCTTCCTCCGTTCTTGAACAGGCATGTCACATTAGTAGTTTTCCAATCGGTTAGCAACAAACACAATTATTCTAATCCCACTTTCCAATACTTGGCCATAGCCTTGTATACCTTGGCATTGCAAGTGCACATCTAAATACTTTTTAAACGTTTTGATTCCCACCACCCCTTGAGTGTACAAGAATTTTGTCAAATCCCATCTGGGATTACATTCCAAGATGGCAGACTGGGCAAATGGGCAGCGTTTAGGTTCCTGAGCCCATCCACTTTAGACCAGCTGCTTCCTTCCTTCTTCCTTACCCTTTTTGTCTCCTGTCTTTATTTCATCTTCTTCCTGTTGGGGAAGGCAGCATCTCGGAGGAGGTGAATGCAACAGGATTCTTGGTGACGCATTGGGGGCTTAGCCTGGCAGCGGAGCCAAAGACTCCTGGTTGCAGTAAGCCCATAGTGGGGATTCGAGTATTGTCGATGAGGCGGCTTTAGTGGTGACAGTGTGGTATGCTCAGAGGGGGAACTCTTGGCATTATTGATGTGGCAGCAGAGCCAGGGACTCTTGGCTGCGATCAAGGCAGGTCCAGAGGTTATCAATGAGGCAGCAGTGGCAGCTCCTGGTTGCAAATGGCCCATGGCCGGGGCCTCCTAGTTATCGGTGAGGCAGTGTGGCAGTGGAGGCAGTGACTTCTGGCATCAGCAAAGTGGGTGCAGCAGCAAAGTGAAAGCACTTGAAAGATGGCAATGCCTACATTGGTGGGTCTGGTGCAGGCAATGGCGAGACAGGATGGAGGTGCAGATATTGTTGGTGAGCTGGCTCAGGGCTCAGGACTCATGGAGGAGGCAGTAAAATGAAGATGGACTCTCTTTCAGTTATATATCTTTATTCTTAAACTATTCAAAATGGTGTCAGATTGTGGTAACAATTGAAGCTTTTCATGTAGAATCACAGAATCCCTACAGTGTGGAAGCAGGCCATTCGGCCCATTGGGTCACACCAACATTCCAAAGAGCATCCCATCCAGACCCACCCTGCTACCCTATCCCTATAATCCTGCATTTCCCATGGCTAATCCACCTGCCCGACACTATGGGCAACTTAACACAGCCAATCTACCTAACCCGCACATCTTTGGACTGTGGGAGGAAACCAGAGCACCTGAAGGAAATTCACGCAGGCATGGGGAGAATATGCAAACTTCAAACAGACAGCAACTCAAGGCTGGAATTGAGGTGGATCCCTGGCACTGTGAGGCAGCAGAGCTAACCACTGAGCCACCGTGCCACTGTAAAATACAAGTGACAATAAATCAATCATTCACTTCAGTTCAATAAACCTCTTACCCATTACCTTAAATCTAAGGCCCCTGGTCATTGATTCCTCCACCAAGCAGAATGGTCCTTCCTGTCTCCTCTATCCATGCTCCTCATAATTATCTACATTTCAATCATGTAACTCTTCAGTCTCCACTCCAGTCTAACCAATCTCTCTTCATAACTAAAACTTTCCTGCACAAGCAATAACCTAGCAAACTCCTCTGCACCCTTGTTAGCGTCCATGTGGACCAAAGCAACTGGATTATTTACCTCTCATTCTAAATACCTTGGCACCAGATAGGGAAAATAACCTTCATGACTTTCTGTCTTTGCTGCAGACAGCAGTATCTATTCCCCTAGCTAAGCTAACTTTTATTACTGCCCCGCTTATTAGAATTTTTGACCACAATGTTATGGCCAGTTCACTTATTCTCCCTTCAGCCTGTGCCTTCATCCACACCAAGAGAAAAATATCTTGTATCTACTGAAAAAGGGCACTGGCTGAGGCTTCTCCAAAAGTAAATTCTGAATATTCTTAACTAGCACATCCACAGTCACAGCCCCCTATTCCTAACCATAGGCCAAATTTGATGTATTTAATTTTAGAAAGATGTTTACCTCCTTAAAAACACCATCCAGGTACCTCTCCCCATCCTTGACATGTCAGTGATTGCTGCTCAGACTACAGCTCATCAGTTCTTTGCTGAAGTTCCTCAAATAGTCAACACTTGCTTCAGAGGTGGTCACTGTGGATTACACAATGTCCACCAGTTCCAACATGTTACACTCTCTATTCTATTTAATTAATTAATTTGAGTATTAAATATTTTAAAAGTGAACTGCTTAACTTCAGCTGCAATAAGGTGTCCTGATTTAAACCACTTGGCCAAACAAAACATGATGTGGAGGTGCCAGTATTTGACTGGGTGGGTCAAAGTCAGTCACATGACACCAAGTAACAGTCCAACAGGTTTCTTTGAAATCACAAGCTTTCAGAGCACTGCTCCTTTGTCCGGTGAAGTGGAGGGAAACGCACAGACACAGAATATATAGGTGAAGAGCTAAAGGCGTTCCAGGAGGCACATTTTATGCTGGAAATCATGACATATACGTATTGAAAATATGTTGAAACAGCAAGAGAGTTCAGCCCTGTTGCATTTAAGGTTGATTGCTGTTCAAAGCCACTCAACACACATCTTTACTGCCATCATTTTAAAAATGTTTGAGATATCATAGAAGTTACATTCCAATAATTAAAATATATAGACTTACAGATTAATGTCCTGTTTAGAGAGTTTCAAATTTTTACTCCATGCTTCTAAGCGCTTTGCTTCTGCTAATCGTTCTCTCTTTGTTAGTACCCTGTAAATAATACATTTCTATTAGACATGTAGAAAGGATAACTGTATTTTTTTATTTTAACCAAGCACTGATAACAGTAGTCTAATTACTACATGTTGCCTCATTAACATTAAAGGGATATTTATTCCATACTTAATGATGGCATCATCCATTTTGGGAAATGATAAACTGCAGCTAAGAGCTATGTGTCACTTTTAGATTCAATATACTCCACACTTCAACATGGCTAAAAAGAGACTAGAAATTGAAGCATTTTGTCTTGCACTCATTGAAACTCGGATGCAAGAAACAGATATGAAAAAAAGAGACACCGTTTTATTCAGAATAAGAGCACGGCACTGATTGGCAAGCCCAATGGTGCATGACAATGGTAAGCAACTTAAAAAAGTGTGGTAACTGTGGTTATTCTAAAATGGAGAAAAATTAATGTTATAGAGAAAAATAAATGGTCTTGAAGTATGTAAAGTGGAATTATTTGTTTTTAAACATAGACTTCAATGCTGTTGACATCATTCCAGCATCTGATTAGCTTTGTTGATAACAATTTTGTGTCAACTAGAAACTTTGCATAATTAATTCCATCCAAAGCTTTACCTCGTTTCCATAGCATCATTTTTGTCCTAACATATTTTACCTTATATACTTCAAAGTTCATCTAACATTCACTAAGGGGAAGCTTAAATGCACAGATGACCCAAGATGGTGAAGCAGGGTTCCTTTTTCCAATAGCATCAGATTTTACAAACATGAAGGCATATTAAGATTAAACTAGGTAAACAGAGTATTCACATGCAATTAAGCCTTTATCTGGTTGTAGAAAATTTTATTCAAGAAAAAGCTCAATAACAGGACCTGAGATAACAAAGTGTAGAGCTGGATGAACACAGCAGGCCAAGCAGCATCAGAGGAGCAGGAAAGCTGATGTTTCGGGTCTGGACCCTTCTTCAGAAGGG